CTCGGGCGCTCAAAAATCCCGAGGAATTGATCATTCCATCTGTCCTCGGAGAGTGCTCCCTCGAAATCGATGTGAAAACATTTCCTCGGGGCGTCCTCGGGGCGTCCTCGGGTCGTCCTCGGGCTACAGGAATTTGGCTGTGTTCCCCAAGGTACCTCGCGAGGTCCCTCGGAGTGGGAGTTTCCGCGAAATTTGGGACGGCGGCGGCGCTCTTCGACGACGTCAAAATTTTGTAGTCTGGTACATTGCTGGTCCACCTGAGGTGCGGGCGGACATTAGCGGCCGACAACGTTCGACTCCGGCGGGAACGACCGCAACGGTAAGGTTGGGTGGCAGACGGGGTCCCTGGCCGTTGCCGGTTTATCCCGGCCCCTCACCAGCGTTGACGGGAAACGGGAAGGCCTCCAATGGCCGGCTGTTTCGAGAATGACAGCGGCGTACGTCCGTCACCACGCGCAGTGGTCCACAATGTAAAGTGGCAGAGGGCGTCGGCAGTCGTGCCCACGCACGCCTGCTGTTTGCCGTYGTCTGGGTAGACGTTACGTTGTCGTGCGTTGTYGTCGTTAGTTGCCCTTGCGAGAACGATTGTGTTMCATGGCCGACGTGCTCCGCAAGCTGCTGCTGGTCCTCCTCGTCGTGATTCTGCTTCTAGTTGTCGTCTTTGTTCAGGTGTGCATATTGGGGAGGTTGCCTTCACGTACTCGCAGGAAACGAGGGGTGAGGAAGAGTGTGGCCATGGACGGGCGGCGRCMAAATRTTGCCACGTTGTCGGACACTTATCCCAGCCACCGGCSTGCRATCTGCACCGGTGTAGACAGAAGGGCGKCAGGTCCGTCGCCGTACGAAGGACTCCCGCCTCACATGCAGCCTYTGCCCGATTCGGACGAGGGGGAGGCGGACGTGGACGTGTCAAACACAGTTCCGCTGGGTAGCGGGTCGACCCAGGAATGGACGGGTAGCCAGTTGTTTGATTGGCGCGGAGTGAAGTACAGGCAGCCGTTCACTTCCCTCCTCCACGAAGGTGCTCAGGAAGAGGAACGCCTCCCCCCTGTAGATCTCACATTTGGCGTGCGGAGCGGGAGCCCATCTTCTGCCACGCGCATTGTGCCTGTGAACCCTCATCCCAACGACGACACGGGGCAGGTGACGTTGGTCGGCAGGGGCACGAGGGGTGGTTCTGCGCCTCAGGAGACGTCCGAAAAGACGAGGGAGCGGCCTCGAGTGCAGGCGACTTCTGGCCCGTCAATTCCACGCACCACCGCTGGTCGCCCTAAGTGGATGAACCCCCCTCCTGCGTTCTCCAGGGGCCACGACACCGTTCCTCGTCCAGTTGAACGGGGTGTGAGTGAGGAAGACTTCCCTTTCGAGGGCGCGTGTGGAGATGGCAGGCGGGTATGGAAGGAGTTGAGGCAGGAGTTGCGGCTGCAGCAAGAAGAGTCCATAACGCAAGGTGTGCAACGATTACGCGTGGGCGAGCGGGCCGGGCAAGCAGACGCGGTTGGCGGGGGGGGATGACATCTGGAAAGACGGTGACGAAGTTCAGTGCGACGCTGAGGAGGACGACATCGGTGACGTGTTCCCGTTGCGTGCTCCGAACATGGGTGGCAGGGGCGGCAGAGGCAGGGCTTCGACGAATGTTGGGCGGAGGTGGAAGAGGCCGTCGGCGACCTCTGCTGATGCGGAAGGTGAGGGGGATGGGGAGGGTGGCCGGAATTTCTGGTCTGTGGATCACATGGTGACCCTCATAAGGGCGAAGCGGGATCAGGACGCCCAGCTGCAAGCGGCRGGGCACRCATTCGCACGGATGCAGTCGAGGGAGTGGAAATGGTTGGACGTCCGGGAGAGGTTGCTGAAGGTCRGTGTWKACAGGCGGACAGACAAATGTGGGAAGAAATGGRATAATCTCATGCAACAGTTCAAAAAGATCCACACTTTCATGGGCATGTCGGGGAAGGAGGACTTCTTCCAGTTGACGAGTCAGCAAAGGGCAGAGAAAGGATTCAGCTTCAACATGGATCGGGCCGTCTACGAGGAGGTCAAAGGGGCRAAGGARAGRAGCCACACTATCAGTCCGAGCAATGTTGCAGACACCGGTGGYGCAGGAGGTGTGCAACTCCCATCTGCACAGTCGGCGACTCYSAAATCTGTGGGGGACGGGGATRTCGCTGGAGATGGCAACGACGAAGACGATAGCTCAGCGCRTGGGGCCTCACAAAGGACTGGAAGTCCAGCCGGTTTCGGGAAGAGGAAAAACGTGCGGCAGCAGACATTCGAGGTGCATGGAGAAGCATGGGGCGTTGATGGCATCGACGATGGAGAGCGCGAGCATGAGGCAATGCGAGGCGATGGAGAGYGCGAGCATGAGGCAATGCGAGGCGATGAAGAGCGCGAGCAAGTGACAATGCTCCATTCAAATTCGGCAGTGTGAGGCTATCGAAGCGGAGGTGGAGGTCCAGAAGCAAAACTGCGCTGCGTCCAATGAAGTTAGCAAGCTTATGTGTCAGGCGTTGATGGAAATAGCGAAGGCTATTCGAGAGCGGTAGAGGGGAACGTCTGCCATAGGGCATTTTTCGGCTATGGATGTCACTCTGTTGCCACGCACGTGTCGTGTACTTAAGTCGGATGGAGTTCATTCGCACTCCTAGTTCATTTCGTGCCATGGGTTTGTTTTCGGTTTGTGTCTCTAGAGGAGTGGCAGATTGTCTGTCGTGCGCGTACTTCTGTCGGTTTGTCCGTCTTCTCCGTGGATTTATTCCATTGTACATTGTGGAGCGCGGAGTGCCCTTGTTTTTTTACTTATTTGTTTATCGCTTCGGCCGTAGTTGTAGTGTGCTCGTAATCGGGAGGTGGTCAGATGATCCGACCACACTGCGATGATGAACGTGGCAGGTATAGGTTTTTGGACGACCGTTTGATTCATTTCTTCAGTTTGCGAAGTGGATACATAGAGAGAGAGAGAATTGGAAATTTGTTATTGTTGGCTCTTATTGCTGAATTTGGTTTCCAGTTTCTGTCACCGACGAAGCACTTGTTCAATGTATGTGTTCCCTTGTCCTCTGTGTATTGGTTTGTGTGTGTGTGTGTGTGAGAGAGAGAGAGAGAGAGAGAGAGAGAGAGAGAGAGAGAGAGAGAGAGAGAGAGAGAGAGAGAGAG